ATGACCACCCAGTGCTGGCCCCCACGGGGCATCAGGTTGGGGGTCCTGGGGCAGCAGGAACCCCCCCGGGTGGGGACATGGGGGCGCAGGCATTGTGGCCATGCCAGTGGGTCTGTGTAGGGGCCAGCGTGGTGGTGTCCCCGTGATGGCATCTACATGTCATGTGCTGGCTTCCTGCCGCCACCCACTCTGCCGAGCCAGGGCAGTGGTATCAGGGGACACCGGGGCACAAGGATCTGCGCCTGCCACGGCACCCACAGTTGTCACATCCCTGCTGGGGGGATGGGTCCCCATACTGGGAGTGGGTGTCTGGACTGGGGACATGGGTGATGGCCATGGGCTGACGTGGGTTGGATGTGGGGACACTGGTTGTGGCCGTGAGGTACCAGTGTTGGGAACAGTGGGGCCAATGCAGGTCCTCGAGGATGTCCCCAGGACATGCGCTGGGGACCTGGCTGGGGTCTGGATGTGCCATGGCTGTGTTGCTCTGCCATGATGTGGGGCTGTGGAGAGCAGCGGTGGCCAGTGGCCCTTTCTGGTCACTAATCACGGGTAATTGGCTTTGCCCTGCCTGGGTGCAGGGAGCCCACGGGGGGTGGGGGAGTGTAAGAGGATTTCCCTGCCTCCTTCTTAAGGCTCGGCCGCCCCGGGGTCCTGCTCCCTGCCTGCCTGCCCACCCAGCCCCATGCCACGCACCCGGGGGGACAAGGGGGCCCCCAAGGACACGGAGGCCCCGGGTAAGGGGAAAGGAGGGGAGGTGGGTGAGAAAACCCCCAAAGCCCCTGAGGACAGAGGACCCCCGGCCACCAAAAACCCTGGCTCTGAGTCCCGGCACAGCAGCCATGGGCAGAAGAACAGCAAGAAAGGACCTGGGGACCCCAATGCTACCGCCACCAAGACCTACTCCCCCTTCCTCAACACCGTCTTTGGCAAGGTGGGGGCCGTCGGGCAGGGTATGGAGTTGCGGGGAACACAGAGGGTGGAGGGGACATGGGGATGAGGTTGAGGATGCTCCGGGGATGACCCTGGGGATGGAGGGGACATGGGGACAGTGAATATGGGGACAAGAACAGCCCAGGACCCTGGGGATGGAGGGGACATGGGGCATTGGGGACAGCATCAGGGACACTCTGGGACCCTCGGGATGGAAGGGACATGGGGACATGGGTGGTGGGAACAGAGAGAGTCCAGGACTCTGTGGATGGAGAGGACATGGGGCATTTGGACAGGGTCAGGGACACTGCGGGACTCTGGGGACCATGGATTCCCCTTGGCAGCACCCATGGGTGCTGGGCACATCCTGTTTGGAGCCTGGGGGGTCCTGGGCTGGGGTACCTGAGTGGGCGGTGGGAGAGGGGCCCGGGGGCCAGGCCAGGGCAGGCAGGGGGTGCAGGCGTGGGGCAGGGCAGGGCTTTGCCTCCAATCCCTCTAATCCCGCCCGCCCGAGTTAATTTTGGCCCACGCTTAACGAAGGTGACATCGTGGTTTGCTGTGGGGGGTGTGGGGGAGGA